TCATTTAGGTGTAAATACTATGTTCCGTCACAGCCTTCCATGTTGTACTCTTCCCTACGTCCATGCCAGAAAGAGCCAGCTTGAAAGCCCCAAACTACTACTCCGTTAGTGGTCTAACCTTTTATCCGTCTCAGTAACCTGGCCGAAAAAACCGCCTATCCATCCATTGCTCTTGCGTATTCCAATACCCTTTCATGATGTCGCGTATGGATCCTTGAGAATGAATGCGTCGTTAGACCTTCCAATTAAAGTGTCGCCATGTGGTGTATTGTGTATATGGATATAGATGCTCAGATGCACCCTTCTCTGCATTTATGGATGAATGTATCCTATATGGTATGGGTGGACACAAAAAACAAGGGTCTGAAAGAGGCTCGACCGATAGGGAGAGGGTATGAAAGCCAAGGAGAGCTCTCAACCAGGTAGAACTCATTCTACGGCCATTTTCATTAGTCAAAATCATTCTTTTTTTTTTCCATTTCAGGTGTTTGCTATGAAAGACGACAAAGAGCGTTTATAGTGCCCTTGGCCGTAGAGCGTGTTTTTCGAGTCTTAATCGTGGAGAATATTGACCCACGATGATCCCCATGCTGTTGATTCCGCCAGGGTCTCTCCAAGATTGAAGTCACCTTGCTCTTTTGCCCCCTCCCGGACCCTTTCTCTTGAATTTGTGAATCGTTGAGTGCTTACTCTTTATAGGGAGGGCGCCCCTGGAGATTGGATTCGTCTTTCTTATATGTTTTCATTCCATGGACTATTTGATTTCATTTTCAATGTCAATCCGTATTTCCGCTCGTAAACAAAAAAAAAATAAGGATTCAGGCTCGCCCTCGCTAAAGTGGCAAAGAATCCTTCGCCGCGATTATAATTACATAAACCAGTCGCTGTCTCTACAATTTCGTAGAATATATGGATGAAGTCTCATTCATGGATTCATCTGGTGGGCAAGCCCTCGTAGACTTTTTCTACCTAAAGATTTGTCTCGGACGCTTCGATCACTGAATTAGACCCTACCACATGTGTTTAAGTTTGAGAGCCACCCTGTTCTCTATGGGTCGAAGCCCCAGACCAAGACCTTGTCGTGGATGGAGTTGCCCGATAATATGACTTACTGTTTATGCTATGGCTCTGTTGCTGGACAGTCAGCGGGAATTCCGGGCTGTCCTTGACAAGTGATCAATCCAAAGAGCTCCGATCGATGGAAGAAAGCGAGCACTCAACCTCACCTAGATCTTCCTTTGTTGCACCTAATATAGAAAGAAAGAAGACTGGTAATAGGTTTCTTTTGGAAAAATCGATCTAAGTGTAGCCTGTTTTTGATTCATCCAATTGTGGAGAGTGAGTCTAGTTTCATACTTCCAATTCCTCTAAAGGAGTTGCCCCGCATCAGTAAGAGGGATGATATATTGACAGACTTATCCCTGGACCATTTGCTGCCTACTTTACTGGCCTGGCCCTACCCCCTACTTGAATGAAAGCATTACGCCAAGTCCTTTTTCTTATTCCTTACTCTATTGGCTGGCTCACGGGACTACTTGATCAGTGGAACCACTCTATTTGATTACTAGTTATTCATTAAGCCCGTCTTTTATGCATACTAGAATTGTTTAGCCCAGGAGGGATTTCTCGACTCAAATGGGGCTCTTCTTCTTCAAAAGAGATCTCTGACAACTCGAGTCATCGCTGCCTACTTTACTGGCCTGGCCCTACCCCCTACTTGAATGAAAGCATTACGCCAAGTCCTTTTTCTTATTCCTTACTCTATTGGCTGGCTCACGGGACTACTTGATCAGTGGAACCACTCTATTTGATTACTAGTTATTCATTAAGCCCGTCTTTTATGCATACTAGAATTGTTTAGCCCAGGAGGGATTTCTCGACTCAAATGGGGCTCTTCTTCTTCAAAAGAGATCTCTGACAACTCGAGTCATCCACCACTATTACATAATAGGCCTCCTTCTGATCCAAGGCGCCCTTCTGTTCCAGCTGGATTATTCTCCTTTCTTTCAGGTCACTTTTGATGCAGGAATTAAGGTTGGGAAACCCCCTTAGAGCGTGAGTAGAGTCTTCAATCACAAATGAAATTGGATCAAGAGCCGTACTGGTTGAATAACATTTTTAGGTGCCATAGTTTATTGCAACTGAACCCTTGACCCGGTTGCTAATGAAAAAAAATAAAGATATTAAAGGTTTGCTTAGCTAGCTGCTTTGACTGGTGGGACAGAAAGAAGAATCTATCTTCAAGGAACTTCTTTTTGGCTGAACTAACCTCTTCCTTTTGCAGCCAGACAACTGGCAGATAAGCCGAGCATCTGAAGAACATAAGATCCGACGCCAGGCATAAAAGTCATATTGTCCACTAGGGCAATTGGCACAACCAGGTATCTCAAACATTGATAAGGGAGGAATCCGGCTTTCATTAGGATAACATTCTTTTCATCCGAATGACAAGGCTTGCTAACTAGGAGGATCGATTATGCTATAAGTAGAGAGACCTTCAAGCACCTTCGGAAGATTAAGGCACACCTCCTAACTCACTAATTCTCACAACAGTTAGTCGACCAGGAAGACCTAACTAAGACTCGAACCATTGGGAAACCCATCGGACTCGGCAAGGTGAAGCTTTCTGAGTTCTATTTCCAGTCTGGAATAAGAACAGACTGAACACAAAGCAGCCAATCGAAATCAACCTTCGAAGAGACACGAATCACATACCTTTCTGACAAACCGGATTAATTAAGAAGGGCTAGATCGACATCTCAGCTAAGGCAGGGCATTCATGGATGGGCCGACAAAGCCGCTTTTCCGTGGGGGGTCAATCGATCCTACTAACTCCTAAACGGCTCCCTAATTCCTCACCTAAAACATCCCGTAGGCGACAAAGAAAAGAAGTGATTAAAATCTCCTCGTATAGACAAGTAAGGTAAGGGTATCTGTTGTTTTCGGTCAAAGCGAGAGTGCCGATCAGAAGTAGCAAAAAAGGACTCTGTTTTTGATGAATTTCTGAGAAAAGTCGTTGAAAAAGTGGGTGAAATTAGTCAGCTGGGGGAGCTCGGAGCTTAGGCAGTGGAAAAGTGCTACCTGGCTAGCGACTCGACTGTAACTCCTCTCCCTGGCAGGGAGAGAAGCTTCAATTTCCACTCGTGAGACTGAGCGAGACAAGGAAGCGCAATACGACTCTTCATGATGAAGCGCCTTAACGCATCCTGGCACTTGTTTCTCAACACCGTATTTCTCGACAACTTGTATTTGTAAATAAAAAAGACTACTCATTCTGTCTAGTAATTCCTTATGGCATTAGGGACCTTCTTTCAGGTCAATTTCATGTTTTTTGGCACTCGGGACATTTCTTTCTGGCATTCGTCAAGTCATTTTCATCGTGGTACTACTAGTCACTCTTTTCGGCACATCATAGGCCTCACCATCAGATGCCGAATTCGCTGAATAGGAATCCCTTGATCCGATGATCCGAGAAGGAAGGCCTTTCCATGGGTGGTGGGGAATGAAAGAAGTGAATTCATTTCCAAGGGAACGGATATCGCATATCGCAACTGACCACTAATAATCAAAATAGTGATCTCTCATTCTATCACATCTACCTTCCCCACCCTCCGCCCTTATCTCCAGAGGGGACCCTGGTCATCCACCGCGGGGTCAGTAGCAAACGAAAGCGAGCACGAAAGGAAGGCTTAGACCAGCTCCTTGTAGGGTGTAATTCCAATTGTCTTTGTCCCAATGTCTGTGATCAAGCCAGAAAGAATAGCTTAATAGAGATCGAATTCGGTACAGATATAAAGAAAAGGCTCACAGCAAGAGCATCTGGCAGGCGGGGTGTCAGCAGTTGGGCCAAGCGAAACAACAACATCACATGAATCTCTTTGTGGATCACTTTTCCTAGTCGCATAACCAAAGAAGAGGCATTGTCTCAATGAGCATGCAATAAAGTGTAAACAAGGCTCTTGCGCACACATCCGATATCGGTTTGCTTCCTCCACTGCACACACACGGCTAGTTGAAATGTGTAATGACAACGAGAAGACTGAAAGCGAGATTGCAGGCGAGTTGGTTAACGCGGATCCCAATTCATCATAGTAAATCCGCCTTGTGATCGGTTCGCAGAGAAGAGCTTGGATGCCTCATTGCTATCGCTTGAATTCATCTATTTGCTCATAGATCTTGTTTGTGGTCTACGAAGGGAATGTTCAGCGAGTATGCCTGCAATACGAGTAAGGGGAACTCTTGTTTGAGAACTTTAGCTACGTACTTAGGTTAGTTAGCTCAGCTTCTCCTATGTCTATTTGGATTAAGGAAGTGGGGTAATGGGCAGACAAGGAGGTCCTAATAATGGTGAGTCGAATCGGGTGCGGCTTCCGTTCCAAGGCTTTTATGCCCCCGTTCAGGCCTTATTTAAGATAGGAGAATGGGGTTAATAAAGCAAGAGACTCCGGGTTTTGCCTAAGGCGAGTAGCATACTCCGGTTTCAGTGAATGTGTGGAAGGCAGCTCTGTTTAGCCAGCAAGCATAGGAAAGAAACCCCCCCTGGTAACTTACTATTAATGCTAATCCATTAGTTCTAGCTCGAAGTTTGCCCTTAGTTGTCTCGAAGTTAGCTGCTTGGCATGAGTAGCTTGGGCAGTCTTAGTGAGTAGCTTGGCTTGCTCATGCGGGGCTTTGGAAAGAAAGTAACCAGGGAATTCATATACTAATCTTCTAATCAGAAGTTTTTTTGTTTAAAAGTAGATCGGGAGTTCAAGCAGATGTTAAATTAAGGTGAGGTTTACTATTCTAGTCTACAGGCCATTTAGCTAAAAAAAATCCTGAGTATCGACTGTCGTGTGCGTCTCCCGACCAAGGTGTAGCTGCCGTGAAAAGGCTATAAGTAACGGCATTCTCAGTTAAGATAACAGGATTCAAGCTTGCTTGAGGTGTGGGTCTCTCGCCCAATGTGTAGCTGCCGTGAAAAGGCTATAAGTAACGGCATTCTCAGTTAAGATAACAGG